GAAAACCATATTGAAGGGATATTATTCATATTTAAGCGACCGGGTTGATCAATTGATCGATACAAAATAAGAAAATTAACACAACAAGAACACGGAGTAACACACCAATATATATTGCTTGAATTATGAAGAAGTCAAACCTTACATTGAGTGAGTTTGACCTATTTATTATATTTAATAACTCATATTAGGAAGATAGTAGAGACTAACTTATTTTTTTAATAATTCTCTTATCTTTAGTGGATTTCTTATCGAAATACAACGGAACAATCCGTTACTCGTCTCGGAATGAAGTCGATGCTCTAATTGAAAATGAGTTTACCTCTTGGTTTAATTAATATGTAAGTATGATCATTTTATATGTTTAGTTTGTTGATAGCATTAATATAAAGATAAATAAAATCGAGAGGTGATTTTTTGTTTAACTTACGGACATAAAATGTACAAGCATTTGACATGAAAGATCGGTTCTTGAAAGATCTTGCATAAAGTCCATTGCTAAGCTGTCGGATCGTACAACGATTATTTTGTTAATGGTTGTAGGTTACGCACACTTGAGGGATCTTTGAAAATTAGATCTTTCAATAGTGGTGTATGTGTTAAAGGAAGCAATTATAGCTTAACCGAGAGTGACTATCATGGGATATTGACGAAAACTATTAAAGTAGAGTATCCTGCATTACCAATCAAGAGAACGAGTATTGTTCAAATATGATTAGTTCGATCCCACATCACAAGAAACAAGGGTTCATCCATACTACAAACTTATGGATGTTAACTATAAAAGAACTTTGAACAATTACAAACCATTTATCTTACCATCATATTCGGCTCAAGTGTATTATAACCCTAGCTTAAGACGTGACAATTGAGATTAGTGAGGTCGTGTGTAAGATCAAAGCTAGATCCGTGTTTGACTTTCTTGAATCATCGGCTACCATAAAACAAAATGTTGAACCATTTCAGCAGGATGATCCAAAAATTCGACATGAATTAATAGACGAAGTCGAGGACATCACTTTATTAAATGATCCAAATGGATCGTTTGTTGAAATAGAAGTAGGTGTGATCGACGAAGAAAATGAATGTCACAATGTTTCGGATGATGAAGATGATAACTTAAAACAATTATTACGATAGTTCGAATTAAATTTATATTTCATTTGTTGTATTAATAAGAAGTTATGTAATTTTTTCTCTTTATTAATTTATTAATTTTGGTTTTTCTACCTTTAGTAAATGTTTGTTGTATATTTTGATTGTTTTATATCTATAGAAAATGATGTATTTTAATTTATTTACCCATGAATGGACTCTAACAATATATTTGTTGTATTTTATTTTTTTGTTTCATGGTAGATCATATAACAATGACTCGTGATAATCATGGTTTGCATCGTCCCCCAAGAGGCGTTATCGGATCACGTTTCGATAATCATGAACGAGCATCACCGTCGGATGGTAGTCCATTAGAATCCCCTATCGGTATCGGTCGTGGGTCTCTATCGATAGGATTTTTTTATAGATCCCACGACTCATGTATTCATGGAGCTAGCACATCCGCATCGACATGTGTTTCTCGTTACGCACCGGAGGTTTTACCATCGAGCTCGAGAGTGGCCCTCCACATACGTGTCTAACACTTCGGAGAGTTCTCACGGCTCATCCCGTTGGCGGCGTATTATTTTTATCGAATACGGATTTGTATGTATTTGTTTTTTTAATATATAATTTCATTAATAATTATGTTTAAAATATTTATTTCATCGTTTTGTTATTTGCTTGATAGATTGACTCCGGATAGTAGAGATCATTCTATGAAGATCTTTGAGATTTTTAAGAAACGAGTGGACAAAAAAGGATCGCCATGGAAGGATGTCCCCAACGTCACTAAAGAGTTTTACTTTAATGAATTTAAGGTAACCTATTTATAATTTTCTTCATAATTACAAAAAAAAAAATTGTCTCATTAAATAAGTTATATAAACTTTTCTTTCTTGTGCGTAAACATTTTAAATGAGATGTCGACGTTGATCTATTTGTTAGAGGGGCATGGGAGCGTATTGCTAGGAAACGTTATGCAAACTTTGTTTAAAAGATCGAGTTTGATGTGTAAGTGACCTTAATTTATGAGTTAGGAGGCATGGGATGCGTGGCAAGTTGATTTCAAGAAACCCGATCGCGTGGCTCGTTTAGAGCAAGCATCGCGTAACCGATTGTCGGAGATCGATGGTCCTTGTTTGGGTCTTTTTAGACATACGGAGGGCTCAATATCTTCACGAGAGCATACACGTCGCTTGGTAAATTACACTCTATTATTATTTACTTATGTCATAACATATCAATTTGGAACTTGTCATATTATTTGTAATGTTTTTTTTTAGGCTATAGAATAGGGACACCCACCTACGAATTTTGAGTTGTTCCGGAGGACTTATAAGAGACGTGATGGTTCATTCATTGATATGCGCTCCTAGCAAACATAAGTTAGTATTTTTCAAATTTAAATATTAAATATGAAAATTTATTCTCAAAGTTATTTTAATATTGTAACGATGATATTATGATTTTGTTAATGTTATTTTAATAGTGTGGAGCGACTAATCAAATGAGGAAGTTGAGGCTCGGAGGGAAGCATGAATCTTAGAGCCAAAAGTAGACCGAATGTCATATACTTGCGAGCTTTCGGGGAAAAGAAGAAAAGATTTTATGGGATCGGCACACAATCGGTGCATTATATGTCTCGATCGGTGGCGGCGGCTCCTCCTCCGCGACGTCGTAATACATGATCGATCCGGCTAGCGAACATCTTCGGATGGATTATGAGGCCACTAAGGAAGAGGATATCAAGCTTAAGGAGACTATTTGTAACATAAAGTCTTAATACGATTTCATGGCATCCTTACTAATGCGGCTAGCACGGACATTCGGGTTGTCTATAAATCCGTCATCATTCGGCAATCTGCTGGTCCTTCCACTCGACCTCTAGTTCGGCCTCCGGTCGATCCTCCAAGCGAGCACTCGGCACGAAGATGATGATGAGGATATGGGATTACACGAGCGGGATGAGTGATGTAATATTCGAGTCACTTTGTTTGTTTTGTTGTTTTTTTATGAAATATAATATTCTAGGATGATTTTGTTAATGTTATTTTATTTTTCATATATACATTATTACTTATGATTGTTTATTATTAATTTTAATTATTAAATATTATATTAATAATATTCAAAAATGTCAACAAAAGCGAAGCAATTGTGGAAAAATTCGTTTTTGAAAATACGACGGAAATTAGGAACGAATTTATTATTGTAATTAGCGACGAAAATTAGTGATGGATTAGCGATGAAAATTAGTTACGGATTAGCGATGAATTTATTTTCAAAATTAGCAACGGATTAGGTATCTAAAAGGAGAGCCATCCGAAGTCAATTTTAGCGATGAATTTTTTGGGTTTAGTGACGGATTTTCCGTCACTAAATATAGTGATAGACTTAATATTCCGTCGTTAAAATTTAGCGACTAACGAATTAGTGACTGAATTATTGTATATCCGTCGCTAAAATCAATTTTTTTTGTAGTGATCAATCTCAAAGGTTTAATAATTTTCTCTCTCTGTCTTTTTTTTTTTTTTTTCTTTTTTCACACAAGAAAATGTAAGGGGATAAAATTTATGGCATTCTCTATCTAAAGGGAAAAAAATATTTTATATATTATTGTTTTTTATGCATATTATCGAATTATTGCGTGCCTCCTGGCCTCATCAATATTATATGGCCAATCACTGTATTCTTTGTATCGATCCGTTCATAACCTATCAGAGAATACCCGAATTAAAAATGCTTTGAGATAGATTACTGACCTGCATTGAATAAAGAAATTTTATACAATTAACTGACAAACTCTTTTAATATGCATGGTTAGCATGCATTGTTGCTGAACTAAAATTTGCCAATTGAGAACTAGTTAAAGAACTAGTTAAAGAACTTACAGAAATTTGCCAATTGAACTAGTTAAAGAGCTTACAGAATTTTTTTTTTTTTATTATTATTATAAGGAGAGCCAAGATTCTAGAAGTTCTACGTTGATAAAATTTAAGTGTCATACATGTACAAATATTTTCTAACAAGAGATTAATAAAACCCATCGAAACAACTCAAAAAATAAAAATAAAAAACTCTTAACCAAAAAGAATAGGTATAAAAAATTAACTAATGTGCAATACAATTAGCTTATCTACAAGGATAATTAAAGAACTTACAAATTTAGATATAGAAGTTCGAAGTCCAATTTTTTTCCACTTTAACCTCAATTATTTTCTGGCCATTTCTCTACCAATAATTATTACTACGTACTTACAGCATTAATTTGCATTCAAATAATCTCAAAATATCCAACAATTTTCTAAAGCCATATCATATATATATTAGTTGCATAGGAGAGATACAAACTAAAAATCTTTTGAGAGATTGAGAAATTAATACTAATTGAGTTATAATTAATTATCCAATACCACATTATTTTCTATTGTTCATCAATAAGATTCTCAAAATTAACTATGAAGAGAAAAGACTAAATTGAATTATGACTTATTATCTTGATTTTTTTCAGAGTAAATAAGGTTTTGTGTAAAAATAAAAAAAACAAAAAACAAAAAAAACAGAAACTTCCATTAAGAAAAGCGAGGGCAAAATACCATATCATCAATATTAAAATTTGGGAAATGAAAAGAGAGCATATATATATATTCAACAACATGGAACATCAATTATCCTTTATTTGCTGCAATAACAAACGAACATACATCGTCGTCATTACCACATGCCATATGGGAACATAAGGTAGCAAAATGATACAAGATTAAGAGAAGAAAAAGGAAATAACATAATCTCCTAAGCAAATTGAAATTGCTCAATGCACCAATTTCCAAATTTGCAGAGGAAGCACAAAGAAACATCTTATGATCGAATAAAAGAAGAGTGTTCTTGTTGATCATCAATTAATCACGTTCAAACTCAATCTTGATACCGCCAATTTTTGCAAGACCTTTACCATACCTAGGCACCAAAGTCACAACCACGCTATCATCATCTTCAGCTTCCAAATCCTCCAACAGATCTGTAAGACTCAATCTCAAAGATGTTTTCGTTTTCTTCCCATGTTTGTGCTTATGAGGAAGATTAACAAAACTCCCTGCAAACTCAGTCTTGTCTGGTGCACTAAGTGAATCATCCTCATCATTAATATACACATCAAACTTCAAAGGTAAATTTTTGTCATACTCAATTCCTTCAATTACCAAAAGCTCCTCTTCTTCTTCTTTCTGTTTTTTACTTCTCGATTTCTTTGGCCTTGCAACCAGAACACTTACCACTTTATCCAAAACTAGAGGGAAAGCAGTAATTGGTGTCAATGCATTCTTTTTTGTTTCAGCTGCTTGTGCTTCCTTGCCTTGGCTAAAAACTTTAGTTGCCACTTTCTTGGCTAACCTTTTTGGTGTTGGTCTAGATTGTAGCCAAGGAATTTCAACATCTTGAAAAGCATATCCTAGCTTTCTTGTATCAAGGCAATCTCTGACCTTAACACGAACAGGATTGGCATTTTCATCATAGAAAAAGAATGAGGTGTCAAGCCAATCACGGTCAGTCAAATCAGCTCGCCTGCCTCCTAATGTCTTCCAAACTGACCACATTCGGTCAACGTTTGAGTGATGAGCAAAAAAGATTGGATCTCTGGCAGCTGAGTAGAAATTGCCCATGTCTTCAGAGTTTGGTTGAGTGTTGTCACCTGTCCACATGTGAACTGGAGTATGTGGAACATTCTCGATCGGGCCAAATTCAGACTCTGCTTTATCACCAGCACGGTATTCACCACCGAAAAAGAGCTTACCAGTCTTGCCATTAGACACCATTTGCCTATACATTACGGTAAGGTTGCTAGATATCTGCTGTCGGTTTGAAGTAGAAGTGTCTGTGCCATCCCAATCAAGATCAAGCAATGTTGGTGGTTGATGATTCTTGTTGCGGAACTTATCATATAGTGGTGAATTAGGATTAGCATACATGGCTGGCATTTTCATGCCAGAAGGAGAATCCCAGTTCCAAAAAGGCAAAGCAAAAGTTGGATCACCAATCAATTTGCCTAAGATTTTCTCATAGAAGTACAGATAGTATCTATGGAAAGGATAGAAGAGCCAAGTGCCGTGAACTTGAAGGTCTAAATCAGGAAACCCAACTTGTTCGTAAGCACCATTACAATAAGCACAATGAACATTGGCTTGTTGCATGAAGTTACGCGGATCATCAGCTGGGAGAGCTTTCATGAGCTCAATGGCTTTGGTATATTTAGCTATATAATCTTTACCAGCTAAATGTGCTGCCGGTCTAACGCGTAATGGTGCATTTGAAGGAGGGGGCTTGAAGTCTAGGATCTCCGTAGCTGGTACTGGAGGACAACAGTTTGTTTCATTCGCACCGGGTGGCAAGTCTGCTCTGCCACATTTAGTGATATCAGGAGCAGAGACTGGCTTAGCAAAGGCAAATGGATCACTCAGACTTGTCGCACCATATAGGCCACCGAGACCAATAAGTACATCTCTTCTAGTGGTAGGGTTTTGTGAATCATCATTTGTGGCTTTGCATGAAACCCTAGGGATATAAGGATGGTTTCTCTTCTTGATCAACGAAAGCTGGGATGTTTTAGGGAATGAAGGGCAGAAAGTGGAGGTAGAAATGGTGGTGGGGGTGGAGGTGGGAGCAGAGAAAGAAGCCATGGTTTGGTTTAGGATTCTGATAGTGATAAAAATTGAACACCTTCTAGTATGGTTTTATAATGAAAAGGTCAAGAATTTTTGCTTGGATTAAAAAAAAACAACTTCTCGCCACCTTAATTTGTAAAAAGATAAAAATATTGATATTTATCAAAGCAACTGATCAATGCCCGCGTGGGGAAGCAAGGACTTGGGGGCTGCGGACGGGATCGTGCAAAGACCAGATTTCGAGGAAAATTAACTTTCGCTATGGTTCAGCATAAATTTCAAGCCCATAATGTGCTCAATTCTCAATGTAGAAATCTTGGAAGCTAGCCTGTACATAATTAAGATGCTAAAATTATAACTTTACCAAATCAACTGGTTAATACACCATTGAAATATATATAAGGAAAAATAAAATTTGTTTATTTTATAGTGCAACGTGTAAATGTTAATGAGAAAACGACATTGTTATGGCTGGTGCCGATGGAACATGCCTTTCATCAATAATTTCTATGCACTTGAATCTGAAGTCTGAACACCAATTGAGGAAGGCCGGTTAACAAATGCGCTGTCTGCCAGGATAATCACACACAACACACTAATTTTTAATTAAACATATGTATTTTAATTTATTTTCAAAATTATGAATTAAATATTTTTGTGAATTTTTCTATTAACTCATAAAATATTTGTTATTTTTAAAATATCAAATTACAATTTTGATTTTTTTTTCAATTGAATACATGAGTTTATTTTTACTTTTTTAATACACTAATTTTTTTAAAAAATACCAATCAATTATTTTGGTCCTTTTTTTTTTTTTGTTAATTAATGAAGTATATGTTACTCGTAGACTATCAAATGACAAATTTTCTCTCTTTTGTTGGAGGAAACTCCCCTCTCAACTTGTTATATCATTTCAAAATTTAACAAATATATATATAATCCTAAAATAAACTTAGGTAGATTTGTTTTTAAAAAAAACTCGGTTATATTTAGGCATGAAATTTGAAGGAAAAAAAATAAACATGAGATTTATTTATTAACAAGATTCATTACTTATAGACATTGGGAGGAAAGTTTCCTCTATCAAACGGAGAATAAAATTATAATTTAATATTTTAGGAATAAGAAACGTGTCATCAATTGAGAAAAAAAATTAACAAAAGTATTTAATTAATAATTTTAAAAAAATCGATTTACTCAAATTGAAAAAATTAAAATTCATGTACTCGATTGTGAAAAAATTATAATTTGGTATTCTTGATACGATGGACAAATCATCGATTAATAAAATAAAATAAATATTTGATTTAAATTTTTTTATAAAAAAAATTATATATTCGTTTGAAAAAAATTAAAAATTAATATGTTTGCAGTGCACTTATCCAGCTACCTGCCTAATGCAAGTAAAGAAAAAAAGTTTGTTCTCTCCTTCAGTATTCTCGTTATGCCTGTATATAAATGGCTCAATTAATTCTATATCATATTGCGTAGTTCTTTTCTTTTACAAAGAGAGATATATACATAGGCCTAGCTAACTAGCGTACCACCTAGCTACTTACAGTCAACTTCTCATTTCTCACCCACTTCATCTTGGTTCAAAAATTCCACTAAACAACATTTTTTTTTTAATTAGAATCATTTTAAGGTTTTTTTCAACTATCTTTTAATTATATATCAATACACAATCCACCTTTCCATCTTTCCAGTCCAAATTATAAAAGCAATTGATCCCATTTATATAAATTTTATTTTTCATGACCCACGGCTCACTCTTGAAGACCTGAATTCTAACGGTCACAAAAAGGAGATAATATTAAGATTATTAAATTATTAAGTTAATAGCACTAAAATTTTCAAGAAAACAATATATACAGTGATGAAAAAGTTTGGGGGAATCGTTATCCAATTCCTAAGAATTTTTTTTTTGGTGAGATCAACGTGAATGAAAGTTAGATACATGCACTATGTTATACTTGCAGATAACTTCGAGCCACCAAAACCTTGCATGCGGGATGAAAACCAATGGGCAAGCGTAGAAGAAACAAAAGATAGCTAGATTTTCAAGAGCAAGTTCGGAGGCATTCCTTTGGCTTGAAGAAAAGCAGTATATTATTTGACTTCCCTAAATCAAGATCTCTTCGTATACTGACAATTTAACGAGAAAAAAAGTGTCTGAAAATCTTCACAAGAAACATTAATTACTTGGTCTAAAAACTGTTAGTGATTGAAGAAGAATCAACGTGCAAAGTACGTCATTTTATTTAGTTAAATTATATGTTATTTATTAGGAGTTTTGTAAAATATTAGACATTTTGGCTAGTGGAAGATTAAAATATTAGGATTCTGAATCGAAATCTACGTTGCTATTGTTGAATTTATGGTTAAAACAATGGCTATCAGTCCAAAAATAATTAAAATTTATAAGAAGAGATTTTGATTTTTACTCCGGCTCCATGTGCTAATACCGCCATCAGTACAGGCAAAGCACGTGTCAGAGATGTGTACGACTGACTGTCGATAAAGGTCGGTGAATAAAGCGAGTCTACGCATGAATTAAATAAGGTTTACCCTGGAGAGAATTTCGAATAATTCAAATTTTTTTAACTGTGGTTCTAATTTTTTTTATTTAATTTAAAAATTTTATTTTCATATTATTGTTGTTTTAAATCTTAATATTTTATTAATACTCAAATAATTAAATAGGTTTTATCCTATGGAGAACTCGGATAATTCAAATTTTTTAATTGAGATTGTAAATTTTTTTATCTAATTTAAAATTCTATTCTTATATTATTGTTGTTTTAGATCCTAACATGCTCCGAAAACACATGTAAACAGTTCTAACTAATAATAACTTACCACGTGTTATGATGAGCTCTAATTATATGATTGAATTCATAACGTGATAAGTTATTATTAGCTAAAACTTATCACGTATGCTTCGATGGCATACATCAAGGTTTAAAATAATAATACTATAAGTAGTAGTATTTTTAAATTGAATAGAAAAAAACTTAGAGTTTTAATTAGAAAAAATCAATTATTCGAGGTGTTCGATATACCCAAAATCTAAAATAATTAATTAATTTGTCGGAAAAAAATGTTAGGTAGATTTGTGAATGCTAGCGATTATAATTTATAATTAACATAGCATTATTTTTTTTAATTGGAAGGTAAAAGATATATTCAAATTTATTTACGTTAAATTTTTTTCTCTAGTAATTTTAAATATAAATTTATAATCAAGAATATTATGTCTCTTACTTTAATGATTTTAAAGACAGCTTCTCCGTATTAAATCAATACCATATTTAATGTTAATTTTGAGATTAAAATCTAAAAAGTTAAAAAAAATATTCTTTAATTACCCAATCAACCCCTTAAAATTAACATAGTAACGCACTAAGAAACTTTAAGTAATTAATTTGTCTTCTTAATTGATGGCTTCAAAATGCTGAGATAAATTTAGCAAGAAAATTAATTATAATTCGTTATTCACCTATATAACGAAGGGGGAAAAAAGGATAAATTACTACATCTTCGATTTCTTGAAGCTTACTGAAATCACGCTATCGTTGACGTTTCGGTAAAATCACTTTCATCATTCGCGTGCGTGGCTTCAAGATAATGAAAAAGAAAGAAAAATCCTTTCTCGAAGAACATCACACTCTATCCATTTTGCTAAAATATTCAAGTGATAGACTTCTACGTTTCGGAGAAAATATTGGGTTTGCCATTTGCACGGTTCCAACATTAGCTAAAAATCATTATGTAGTCCCTTTACATTGTAAATTTTGTCAAAACAAAACTTCTATTATAAATTTGATCAAATCAACCCATCTAACTTCAATTATAGGTGATTTGAGATCATTTATCTAATCCTCTTATAATATATGATATTCATCTGGACGTTCATTTAGTAAATAAGTTAATTAAGAGAGGCAAAATCACCCTTTGATTTTTCAATTGAAAGTGGAGGGGCTAATTTGATCAAAATCAAACTTGATGCTTTGGCTCGATCAATTCTGAGAAGTAAACAGACCATGCATGTCTTCTGGCTACCACCATTGGATCTTTTAACTATTGGTAGTTTTCTTTATCTGTATAGCCAAAAAAAAAATTACCCCTGACATTGAATTCAACGAAAATGATTCTAATCGTTTAAATAAATGATTTTAATTTAGAGTTTTTTTATATATGAAAAAAAATCTTTTTAGATAACTGTATTTATCTTATATGTTCAAATAAATAGTAAATAAGTTAATTAAAAGAGGCAAAATCACCTTTTATTTTTTTAATTGAAAGTGGAGGGGCTAATTTGATCAAATTCAAACTTGATGCTTTGGCTCGATCAATTCTAAGAAGTAAACAGACCATGCATATCTTTTGGCCATCACCATTGGATCTTTTAACTATTGATAGTTTTCTCTCTGTCTAGCCAAAAAAAAAAAAATTACCCGCTAGGATTGGTTTAAACGAAAATGATTCTAATCGTGTAAACAAGTGATTTCAATTCAGAGTTTTTATATATAAAAAAAAAAATTTAGATAACTGTACTTATATTATAGGTTCAAATAAATAGTAAAAGATTAATATGAATTTTTAAACTTGAAATACATTAGAGATTAATAAAAAAAAAATTTATTTGTGGACAAAAGTTTTGGGTTTGCAGCATAAAGCTTTAGTTGGGTTCCATACAGGACTTCTTTCTTTCTTTCTTTCTTTCTTGGGCTTGTTCTTTTGGACATGGGTTCATTTGATCTTCTCTGTTACCTCCTGTTTTTCCTCTGAAATTTCTTCAACCGCTTAAAAGATGAAATGTGCCACTAGCAAGTGGAGCAGTTTCTTGATAGGGAAAACTGTCACCTTCTCCCTCCATGATCCTCATTTGACCATAATTTGAAATCATAATTAAGCTACTAAATTTTGATTACTGAAATAAATTTCCACCCTCACAGTTGCTTACTTTCTCCAGCCACCAAAACTAGTATGAACAAGTCTCACCAAGTGATCTTCTCACAAATATTATTATTATACTTTCAACTATGTTTGATATTTTATTTGGATGGAGAAAAGCTTCCAAGTCGTAATACTAGTCAGCCAATATTGTTATCCATAATCAATTTCATTGTTGTGTGCTTAAATATTTTGTTTTGTATGATTAAAGAATGTGAATGTTGTCAATTTGCAGCAAGAAATTAATTGAGCCACTTCACTGCCGCCTTAATTCACTTAAGAGGAAGAGAGACTCAATTGTAAGGCAATTACGTGAGGACATTGCCCAGCTTCTTAAGATAGGTCGAAATGAGACTGCTTTTGCTAGGGTAGTACTACTCGTACCTTTTTTTATTAATTACTTGACTTTTTCTCTCTTTTTTGGTTGCTTCAATTTTTAAAATAATGGGGTTAGATTAGCAAAATAAAGTACTACTACTTGTTATTGGAATTTCCTGTATTAGCTGCCTAAGTTTGAGATGAACAGGAAAATCTAACAACTGACACTATTGCAGCTATTTTACCTCAGAAATATGATGTGGGCAAAAACTTAGGATTCAGGATAGACTATTTACAATGGCTCAGGCCTGTTGAAAGGGACCTTATTTCCTGTTGTTGGATTGTCATTTTAATGATGAAGACATTCTAAATATGTCACAATTGAACTTATATGGATTGTCGTTTTAATGATGCCATTTTGAAAGATCATACATGTGCTAGATGTTAGCTAGGTTTTCATTCAAGTTCTTTTCAATCTACTTCATTCTACAAGAATTTGATCTGTTAGGGATGCTATTCCGCAAAGCTAATTTTCCTTAAATTTCTCAGGTTGAACTGCTTTTTAAGGACCAAAGCTTGTTGGATGCGTATGATCTGCTGGATTACTACTGTGAATTTATTATTCTTCACTTTCGGTACATTCGCAGAAACAAGTATGATATACGCATAATGCTAGTACTCTATGTAGAGTTAGATCAATCTTATACATTGCTCGAAAAATTACAATTTCTGCACATATAGATGAAGTGGTAACCGAAATCCTAAGATTCTACTGGCAGACATTTCAGTGTTGTTATATTGTTGTGCGTCCGTGCAATAAGATATTCAGTTGATGCATGACTTCAGCTTTTCTACGTTAATTTGGCAGATGATCATTTTGAATATCAGTTTTTAATCTTGCTTTCAGGGACCGTCCGAAAGATATTAACGAAGCAGTTTCAACATTGACATTTGCTGCTGCATGGTTTGGGGATTTGCCAGAGCTCCGAGTGATCAGAAAGCTTTTTGGTAACCGCTATGGGCAGAAATTCATAAAGGATGTAGCTGCATTGCAGTCTGGAAATCTTGTCAATCATGAGGTTGTCAATCGTGAATTTTTGAGCCAACATGTCTTCCTCGATTCTTCTTACATGGAATTTTATCCATTCAAGCTTGGTTTTCGATGCTACTACTCTTCATAAGCATTACATTTATGTCACAGATTAGGGAGAAACTCTGTATAAAGTTCATCACTGATGGTGAGAAGCTAAAATTGATCAACGAAATAGCTAAGGATTATGGCCTCCAGCTGTGGTCCTTGGGGTGTGATAATAGACCCGAACAACATGTTTTGCAGGTATGCTCACCCCACAATTCATTTTCTGGATCATAGTATTATACGAAGTCTTTTTATTTAGACTTTTTGATGGGAAACTCTAAAATTTAGTTTAAAATCTTTGGTATCATCCAATTGCAGTTGTCTGGAAACGCAGATCATCAATTGGAGAGTTTTGTTTTTAAGGGAGAGGCTTGTATCACTTATAGCAGCACCAGCGAAGCAATGGTGCTAGCTTCATATGCTAACCATAGCCTGGATGTTGCGTCTAAATTAATCATTGATCCTCTGGAAAACGCTCCTATTCTCAGAAAAGCAGTCCAAATAGAGGATCATCCTCAAGATAAGTATATGTATGAACTATCTGATCAAAGTAATTTAGAAAGTTCTGGCTCAAACAAGCTTTCTGCAGCCTCTTTCGAAGGCAATGAAGACATTGCAAGAACAGAAACTCCAGACATTTCATTTCAGTGTCACAAGAGAACTGTCTATGTTGAGGAAGTGGAGGAATTTGAGTTTAATGGTGAGGACAAGAGATTATTTTTGTTCAATGCATCCCTCTATCCTTTAATTGACAATTATGGTGTTGATGGATCTACATTGTTGGCTTTATCCCACTATGGTTATAGCGACGGTAATTTCAACAAACCTAAACCTGAGGATAAGATAGCACTGTCAGGGAAAACTCCCGAAAGGATGAGGAAGTCATATGGTCACAGGTTGGAAAGGAGAGTTGATGCCAAGAACAATCACAAGCACAAATCTTTCATGAAAGACCATGATTGTGTGGTCTTCAACGGTGAATTGCGCATCTTTTCACCATGTCCACTTCTATCATCGAATTTTTCATTTGCAAGATAAGCAAAGGACAATTATGCCAGCCAAAGAATTCAGGAGTGCCTCATTGGTCTGCTATGAGAAGGTTTTGTACAGACCAGTGAAAGGGTATGTTCAGTCCTGTAAATGCACATGTAGTCAAAAGAAGTCATATTGCAGCAGCAGATTTAGCCCTGAAAAGAATTTTAGATGCTGCCTGGAGAAATCATGCTATATATTTGATAGACAGGAAAATGGTACTAAAATGCAAGAGAGCAAGAAATTAATGGAAGCTGAAGAAGCATCAGATTGTCCGGCAAGATATGCCTCTTCTGACGGTTCCTGTTCAAAGGGGCGTAGTCCTTATTCAAGTGAAAGCACAATCCCACCGAAAGGGCTAAAGGGCACATCCCCTGATAGTGATAACCAGTCCGTTTCTTCTCAGTTTCAGCTTTCAAAAGTAAGCACAACCTCATCTTGTAGCCATGTACATCTAAAGCTCCCGGACTGTGATCAATTGGAAGCTAAATTCAGAGCTCTCAAGAAAGAGCATCAGCTAAGAATCAATGCAGCCAGGCATGGCTTGAATCTTACATGAGACCAGTTGCGTAAGTACGCACCATGCGTACATACTGTAAATCTGGTGATTTTCAAGCCAGTCATACATTTTACTCATTTTTTTCCCTGATCTATTCATTCTTGGCTCCATTATTGCCTTAGTATTTGATATATTTATGACATCATCCATCCTAATTTGCTCATTTACTTGTCCTGTCATCTTTCTATAGAATCAAAAGAGAACTTAGCTTTAATCTTTTGGCTTATGATCCTTTTTATGCTGAATCAAGGTATTAAAGCAAAATCTGTTTGCTTTATCTGCACCAATGGAATTAGTCTGGCAATGGATTCCACCAAGTTATATTATAGTGAGTCCTGAATCAGTAAAATATTATTTGTGGGAGAGATGCCTAATTATGTAATTGAATTCTAAAAGTGCATATCATGAGAAAGTACAAATGAAGCAGGATTGATTGCATTTGGTTAAAAGAGAGGTCGTTCTTTATGACTGTCTTTCATATGATTCTTGTCATGGGCAATGCCGCATTGGTGTGGAATCCACTTTACCTGTAGGTGCTATCTTTTTGCTTTCTTTTTCACATGATTCCTGCAATTTGCAAATCTCAAAAAAACTATTGAGAAACCATCAATACTATATGTGTGTGTGTATATATAGTAATTTATTTTCAAATATAAAATCTAGGATAACTTTTCTTAGTGAACTATATTTTAACCCCGATAGATTCCATCAATATTCCATATTGGCCCTTGTACTTTAAAAATTTTCAATATCAACCCTATAGTTTCAGAAAGGTTCCCATCTGATCCATGACACTTAAATTAGCATTGTACTCTTCCTTCTTCTTTTCCACTTTTTCATATTTGTATCTTATATTTTCGTTTCAAACTCCATTGCATGTGATAATGGAAAAATTGTAATTTGAGTGTTTAATTTATTTTTTTTTCTGTTTTAACGCCCACAATCACCTAAAACTCAAAAATAATGATGTGTCTAAAATGAATTGTTTTATGATAATTTTTAACCGATACGTGACAAAAAATAAATTTTTTTTTAATTATTTAGAAAAAAATATCATTTGGGTATCTAACATTTGATTATTTTCTGCTTGAGTGTACAATGTTTGATTTTTTTATTTTATTTGAGTGCTCTCAATCACCTAAACTTCGAGGATTCACTAACGTACGATAGTTCTTATTGATACATGGCAAAGGTGGGTTCCTCCTAAGATTTATTGAGAAGAAAATTTAAAATATATATTTATGAAAATTTTGAAAAGAAAATAGTTGAAAAGGATTAAAAAAAAATCAAAATCAATTATTAGTAACCGAATGAGTTTGAATTGTTTAAATGATTCAAAATTAAAACTCTTGGATTAGGAAAAAAAAAAAAGATATTTAGATGATGATATCTTTAAAGTGTTCTAAAAAATTGATCAACAAACTTATTGAGTTTATTCGGCTATCAATATTCATTTTTAATTTTTTGAATTGCTGTCAGCTATTTTATTCTTTATTTTTTCTCAATAAATTCGAGTAATACCTATTTTTTGTTATGTTTCAATTAAAGACTTGTCGCGTGTCAATAAATCTCCATCATGTTAAAATTTTTCAGTCGTATATTGCTAAGAGAACTCAAATAGGAAAAAAAAATCAAAAGTTGGGCTCTCAAACAAAAATATAATCAAAGATTAGGCACTCAAATTGCAGTTTTTTCTAAAAAATTAATTTTTAAAAAAATTATTTGAGTGTGATTCACTTTCTGTCACATGACAGTCATCATGGATACATTAGCATTTTCTAGTTTACGATGATTATATGCACTCAAATAAAAATAATAATAATTAGATACTCAAATAAAAAGATTTATCAATTGGACTTTAAAAAAAAATGCAGTTCTCTCTTAGATAATATCTCATAAAAACTAAAAAAGAAAAACCAAACATCAGGCTTGCCTTCAGATTCTGTTAGTTATTAACCAGCCATGGCCACATTGTGGAAGGAAACTATTAGTTAATATTGGGAATTTTCAAACTATATGAACCGAAATGGAACCTTGTGAAAAACTGGTATTGAAATATAATTTACCGTTTTCTTTTTTAATTCTGGTTATCGTCATTCAATACATTAAAAACATTATCATGACAATAAATGTCATATAATTTTAGCGTACAAAATAATTAAAAATAAGAAATGCATAATATAGTCAATCATAACTTACTTTGGAAAAGATTGAGACTCAATCTTAGCTTTATAAAATTTCTAAATAAAATAGGTTTATTTCAAATTTAGTAGAAATTTGAAGGAACTCAATATATATATATATATATAAAATTGAGTCTAGATGAAAATATTAATATCACTTTTGATAGATCGGAATGTAATTTTTTATTTTTATTTTTACGTATATCTCTCTTTAAAGTAAATATATATAGTAAGTATAATTTATTCAAATTTATGCTTGTTTTATATGTAGTCTAAAATTTTCTAATTCTTTCTTCTTCTTTTTTAAAGTTAGAGATATTTTTTAATTAATTTTTATATCAATTAAAATTAAATTTTTTTCAAATGATTTTAAAAATACATTCACTGTATTTGCCTCGACTCTAGTGCATTATAAATGTATATTTGTACAAATTTTATAATTCGAATTTAAGAAATTAAGAAGAAAAAAAACAATTATAGCCATGAAATCCCTCCAAGTGTTCTCGCTCTAAAAATTGCAAATTAGCACTCATTAATTAGCATATCCTCTCCATGGTGGATGATAAAGATGCAATTCATTCACTAATTAAAATCAAAATGTTCCTAATAAGATTGGTAAAGAAAGTTGTTGTTGTAGTTACGGAATTACGAAAGATGGTCTCTATCCTAATGGTCACGTCTAATCCTTATCATAATGTTGAGCTTGCCGTAATTGGCACTCATCATTAATTCATCTAAATCACAATCACCCTTCCTTATCCAACAAGTCCACGACACGTGGCACCCTGATTTAACGTTAACATTATTGAAACACCAGAGACTGGTCAAGAGTCAAAGCACCAAATCAGTTAATTAAAGAGGTAGAGATAGAGTAAATTATAGATTAGTCCTTCTAGTTTTTCAAAAGAAATTAAATATTTTTTTTCTAGTTTTAATACATATATTTTTTTTAACTCACACACCTAACACACACAACAAAAGAAATTAAATAAGTAATCTCTTATAAAAAAATAACTATCACTAACTTATAAGCTCTTTGGTTTCTAGTTTTAATATCTAATTAATTTATTTTTATATATTTTAGATCTATTTATAACTTAATTTTTTTCATTTTTTCAAATTATTTTATTTTTTAATGAATATAAAAATTAAAAAATAAGTTAAAAAAAATGAAAAGAAGATATTTTTTAATAAAAAAAGATTATTTAATTTATTTTGTGAGACTAAAAGTACTATTTATGATTTCCTCAGTAAAAATAGGGTAAAGATTCTCGAAAACAAAAATGTTAGGCTAAATTTCGTTTTAGGTCCTATAGATTCAACTATGTTTCACTCCTACCCCTATAATCTAAATTCTTTTTATGCCACCCTTCTAGTTTCCCAATTTTCCAATCTTACCCCTAACAATTAAGTAGCTTCTTCTCCTTTTTTTTAAATTCAGTTTTTGTTTTTTTTTAAAGTGTTTTTAACATATATAGGGATTTGAGAGGAAAAGTAATAAAAGAATAAAAAAAATATGAAAATTCAGCTTATATTCATTTAGTACTAAAGAGCAAAATTGAAAATCTTAAAAAGCTAAAAAAAAAAAAACAGAGAGAGAAATTTTAAACTATAAGGATAGAAGTAAAACATTGATGAATCTATAAGGATAAAAATATAATTTACCCTTATTAAAATTTTGCAAGCATCATCATACTCATGAGCAAGATTTGCCATCTAAGTTTTAGCATTTATTTGTTTTAATTAACTCATCTCAAGAAGTAAAACCACTCAATCTATATTTATTATAGTAATATTTTCTCCAAAGATAGTCATAATTTTCTTTTTAACAGTTTCAAAATAAATGTTAAATAAAATTCAAAACGTCAATTATACAATTAATTTTTTATACCCTTATTAATGCCATATATTTATACCTTAATTAACTTTAGTTTTTTTTTTTTTTTTAATGAAAGAATAATCTTGAAAGTTCACTGCAAAATAAGTTACATGACTATATATTTATTGGTTTTCAATTAATATGTGTGAAATGATTAGTGAAACTTTCTCTGTGGATCTTGGGAGTAACGGTTATTTTGTTTTGTAGTATCCATTAACTATCTCTATATAATTGTTACATATTTAACGTTTTGCTGCCAGCCTTCGTTCTTTCTTATGTTTGCGTTTGCATTAATTGCAAGGAAAAAAGAAAGAAAGAAAAGGAAGAGGCTTTTCCCTTTTTTGGGTTTTGGAAGATGGGTTCTTCAACACTGTTACTGTTAGTGGTTTTCGTGTTTGATCTGATCGCTTTTGGTCTTGCTGTTGCTGCTGAACAGAGGAGGAATACTGTAAGTTTTTCTTTCTTTCCTTTTTTTTTTTTTTTTTTTTGAAGAAAGTCTTTTTGCTGCTGCTGTTGTTGCTAGTTGTTGTGGTGGTGATGGTTTATGAGTTTTTCTTTGCGGGTTTTAGAGAGATGACGGTTTTTTGTTAAACTGCTAGTGCAAAAATTAGAAAGTTATTGGCTTTTTTATGTTTTGGTTTCTTCAAATGCCTAGTTTGTTTTGTTTGACACTTTTTGTTTTCAAGTCTAGTTGGTTTTTCTTGGAAATTGTTGATAAGTGATGTGGTGATTTCTAGTCAGTGTTTGGTTCGTGAAATTTGTTTCGCTTTGTGGAATTAAGAACTTCGAAGGAGGGAAAAGAAAATAAGGGAAGAGAATAAATAAAGACTATGTTTCAACTACTTGTAGAATTCTTTACTAGATTTGGTTTTTTGAGTTCCTTGTAGGTATTATATATGTTTCTGCGTGTGTGTGTGATCTTAAGATAGATAAAACGCTTGACATTTCTCTCCGTGATCTGGAGAAATTGAAAAAATTTATAATCTGAAATATACACATATCAGTGCCAAATGCTACGGTCTCTGCCTTGCCATGGCTTACGTTGAGTGTTTCCTTATTCCTAAGGGCTACACAGGCTTTTGATTTGATTGTTAGGTTGAGAATGTTCCTGAAAGTATATAAAGATGGAATTTGCCTGATAAAACTGTATGAAAAACTCTACTTGGAGCACTTTGTACCAAGTTTAGTATAGTTTAGGTTAATAATGTTATTGAAAGTATATAAAGATGGAAGTTACCTAGTTAACATATTAAAACTGTATAGAAAACTGTAATTGGAGTGCCCAAGGTTAGTACTTGCTGCATCGCTAACTTGTAACCAGCGAGACATTAAAGGTAATTGGTTTTGAATTGGATATAGTTAGGTGGATGTAGAGACCTTGGTCATTCACACTTGCATGGAGTCGATCTCTGGAACACTTTTAAGTGTGTTGGTTAAAGGTTCTCCGGCCTCCGTATATAACGGTTGGAAACTGGGGAGCAAGAAAAACTTGGTATTTCCTGCATGTGACCTGCTGTAAGGAGTTGTTCTGTGCACGTTATAGGCTTGTAGGATCATGAGTCTAAGGTTCTGTTATGATATGTCACCAAGGATATGACCATATAACTAAATCCCTTGTTGATTGGATAGATTAATTAGTAATTTGTTCCTTTACCTTCGCAATTCTGCCAAAATATGGTAATCATTCCACCAGAGAAAAATGAGCAATTGCAAACCGCACCAGATTCCTGTATCTCTGAATGACCAATGTCTACTTATCCTTGTCTTCTTTTCCAGGCCAAAATCGAAAAAGTGGGAAATGATAGCTATTGTCGCTATGATTCAGACATTGCAACCGGCTTAGGAGTCGGTTCACTCCTGTTCCTTATGGCTAGTCAACTCCTAATAATGATAGCTAGTCGATGCTTGTGTTGTGGGAAGGCTATGAGACCTAGTGGGTCTAGAGCATGGGCAATCGTCCTTTTTATAACTTGTTGGTATGTTCATAAGCAATCTTTTTCTTAACCTTAATACTGCTTCGAAACCTTGTTCAAGGGAAAAAAAAATTAAAAAACGGATGCTATTTCCCTTTTCGATAATTTGCTCATTGCATCCTTGTACCAGGGTATTCTTCTTTATTGCTGAGGTCTGCTTGCTGGCGGCTTCTGTTCGTAATGGCTACCACACCAAGTACTTGTCAGATCCTTCTCGCTCTTGCCAGAAAGTGAGAAAGGGAGTCTTTGGGGCTGGAGCTGCATTTGTTGTCTTGACAGGCATTGTATCTGAGATTTACTATGTTAGCTATTCCAAGGCTAATGATGGACAACTTTCTTACAACAGAGACACTGGTATAAGAATGGGGAATCTATAACCTGAGCTGATTTGGATCAAGGAGGAAGAATGTATTGAGTTGACCTGCATGTTATGATTCGGGACAGTTAGGAGGGAGCACACGTATATTTAGACAGATGGAACTTGATTAAGTACATATTACCTGTCTAGTCTTGTTTATATCTCATTTATTTCTTTCTAGTCTGTTAATTAACACTGCTCTTGTTCATCAATTTTTGGTCTTTTCATACACTAGGATTTAACTTCTTCATTTCAAATAAAGAGCTGAATATGTTGCAACCAGATCATGGCTTCGCTCCTATTAAAAATAATATAGGTCCTGTATTTTTTGAACTGGATTTGATAGTGTTTCTTGGAGATCATATCTATGTTCTCTTCATTGTAAGACACCTACTGATCACGTTACCAGAAATCAGCAGTTCTGTTCTTTTTCTTCGTGTGAAGACAGACACCATTTTTCATATTCTTCCAGGTGAAGGCTAACATCATTTTCAGTTAAAATTTGAACTGATTCGTGTCCAAATAAGGGATTCCTGGAAGCTAAATGTTCTATAGGCCTATAGTCACCATGTCAATTCTTTCCTTCAAAATGTGGTGGCTGTTATCCCAGATCAGTTTCTACGCCATGGTATTTGGCCTCTTGCTTTGCAATGGACCCAAAAAAATAGGACATAACGCATGTAGAACATGTGCACCAGCCAATAGACAAAATTTGATCATTGCAGCCAGTGTAAACCCCACAAGGAGGAAGAAACAATAAGCTGTCGCTGTGACATCTCTTCTCTTTCTAACCATAGAAACTGCTTGGCATAATTTCCCAGAAAGATCAAGGTTGTGATTGACCAAAGTTGAGTCAGCCTTTCCTATCCTTCACCTACCTGTAGCGTCAATAACACCACTTGAAAAGAGGTTAAAATGTTATATCTGATTAGATGCATTTGTCGGCTTGTCCAAGGATAGGATTCTCCGGAATCAGAACATATGAAACAATCTCATTAGATTAAAATAATCCATCATTTTATTTGAACTTATTTTCAAAGACCATAAATTTCAGGCTCTATGGTCATCAGTTCAGACCTTTTCTCTAGAACAATGAATTAACCCACAATCAACACCATGCATTGCCTCTAAAGAAAAAAGAGAACAAGCCCTAGGACTACATTTATATAGTCCTCAACTTGCACATGTCCTGCTCAACAGCAGTACTGAGGGGATAAGAACAAACATTAATCAGGAAATTTATACCAACATTAATATATAATAACAGCCATCAAGTGCCCGGCTAGGATTTAAGAGAATCAAGAAGAACTCATAATCAGAATTCTAAAATGCTAAAGAATTATTGCAAAAACTACTTTACAGCAAGAATATGTGTCAGGACTAGAAAAAGAGCACGATTCTGAACAAGTGGTGGGAAAACAAATCCATGAAATGTTATTATTTGAGATATCCAAAAAAATATGCATATCCACAGGAATCTTCCATCACATCTACTTATTACCGCAGCCTAGCTGGAGAAGACCCCATCGCTCAAGTCTCAACTTAGTACCCACAAGGAACCCTAACCCCTTAGCCTACTTCAAATGAAAATACTCTGGCATTTGAATGGAAACATATGCAGGTAATTAGATATTAAGGAGAGAAAAGGACTACACAAATGGACAACTTATATGATTGCCTGAAGCTGCAATTGAGAAAAAAATAAAAAAAAGACAGCTTCAAAGCTAGAGATTTTTCTAGTGTTCAATCATCCGGTGCTCTCTTTCCTGTTACATCTAACTATAATAGCTAAGACACATTAATATAGGACTGTGATATTACAAATGAGACCGACCCTTCACACAAAAACACTCAATTACTTAAGAAAAGGAAAGAAAAAGGATTTATACACGCTTCTAATAAGGTTAATAAAGACCTTAATTATGGTTTGATTTCAGAATCATCCCATGGAGCATTGAGATCGGTAGAGACATAATTATCTATATCATCCCAATTCCAGTAATTTGTCATGTCCATTCCACTGCTTGTATTTGGCACTTGCCATGGCTGGGTGATATTGCTACTTGTGGAAGGCATGGTGGTGGTGATGGTTGAGTCCTCCATGGATTCTCCAGTGTTGTTATAAACATTTGAGGGCTGAAAGGAGCTGGTGCAGATTGAAGATGGGTGTGTGATAAAAGGACTTGAATAAGGAAAGAGTAAGCCTTGATTTTGAGGTTGAGACAAAGATGAACCAGAAAGGACACCATTACTGTTGGTGTTGAAACTTTTAGTATCCAAGTACTTGCAGCTGATTGAATTCTGTTGCAAAACTGAAGATGATGGATTGATCATTGCTTGATACAGCATTTCAGATAAATTCTTATGATCAGTACCAAGTACAAGATCAGGAAGATTCTGCTTTTGCTGCTGAGCTTGAATTGCCAACTGAGGATCTACCCTATTGATGATACTGTTGCTATTATTGGTGCTTGGAGCAGTGGTGCTTGCTTTGCTTGTGGAGGTGGTGGTGTTGACGCTTGTTCTTGATGTTTTCGGCCTCTTGTTTTTGCGGCCACCACCAACGGGAACATTTCGGAGAGTGCCACCTTTAGTCCAGTGTCTCTTGCAAGCCTTGCAAAAATGCCTGGGCTGCGACTTGTTGTAATTATTGTAGTAACAGAACTTCGTGTTTGTTGACTCACACCTCGGACACTTCAAGGGCTCGGATTGCAGCTGGTTTTGTTGCTGTTGCCTCCTTATTCCCGGAGGTTTAGGCAGCTCCAAAGTTTGAGCCTGCAATAGGGTCTGGCTCCAATCTAGCCCATCGCTAGTCACCTGCTTAGAACTCAACCCCATCTTTTATAACACCCCAAAACAACAACAAAATCAACCAATTAAGAGAATGAGAAGAAGCAAATTTTCTCTACGTATTCTGAAAAAAAAAAAAAAAATTAAACAAATTCTAGCTAGCTAGCCTTTGGACCTTGGGGCAAGAAGAGAAATCAACACGAAGAATAACAAGAGGATGAGGTTGTTTCTTGTGAGCCAAACACTGAAATACTGCTCGGTGGAAAATGGTGATACGATAGTGGAAAATGTTGCTAGGAAATGCGTAGGAAGGTGATGAGAAGTGAGCATGTCTATTTGAGTCTCTATCTATCTATCTATCTTAGCCTACTCACCCTATATACCTATCTATTAAACTCACAGTTAAAAGCAGGTTTTGATTGATCTATGTAGCTAGTGGGGATTTGTAATTTTGCTCGCAAATTAAATATTGTGGCAGAGTACTTGCTACCCTTCTCTGCCCCCCTCTCCGAGCTATTTTATAGACACAGATGATATTTACTTAGTCCTTAAGGTGGTGGCGGGTTATTGACACGTGGATGTTTAGCCACCATTGATAGTGCCTTGAACGCATGAGGTGTAAAGAAGGCACAGATGTGTTTCGTGCTACTATACACTATGCCTGTTCATTTACAATTCTTCAAGGGATGGCAAACCCTTAGAATAAATATAGTTGGCAAAATGGAATGAAATCAAAGTACACTGCTATAGTGCGGTCTTATCATGTCTATTTCAACAATTGTTTTTATATATATTTATATATCCTAACTAGTTTTCGCATATTGAGATTACATATAAGTTTCTAAACTTATGCCTTATGTCATTCATGTGTTCATAAGAAATTTCATTTTTCTAGTCTTTTTAAATTCTAAAATGATATAAGTACTAAAGAGAAAGATAAAAAAATGGCATCTTTTGAATAAATAAAAGAATTGTTAAAATTATAGAGATATTTTTTTTAACTCACGTTTATAATTCCTAACAGAATTAATTTATTAGAATTTAAACTCATTATCTTGTATTATAAGAGATCATTATCATTAAATTATAAATTTTTTGATAAAATTATAAAGATACATGCAAATGTAATTTACAATTTAATACGTCATAATAATTATCGAACCATGTAAATTTTTTATGTTTGTGTTTTTTTAATTTTTTTTATTATATTTTTGTTACTTGATTCATTTTTTTGACAAGAAATGATGATCATTGGATTAGAATTAGGTCAGTTCCTCTTCTTAATTATACTAGTTTTGAATTTGATTGGATTTAAACATATAATAATCCCATCAAGTTTAAAATATGTATAACAAAATTTATTTTGTATAATAATAACAATAATAATATTTAAAAAATCATGATTTTTTTTTTAAGGCTAAAACAGGTATTCGTTCAATGAGGCTGCGTTGCCAATTTGTCATCCAAACATGTAGGACCATTATTTGAGGAGGGTAAAAAAGGAAGTGGCATCACGTGATCACCGGTGGGATACCACCTGAAAGAGGTCGTTATAATCCGATGGGCCTCTCCTATGCATGTGATTACATGTTATGAGTTTGGTGTTTTGTGATAGCTAACTTCACATGCACGTGTTGCCTGCCCGTGTATGTTTTTTTTTTTTTTTTTTTTTTTTTGAGGAGCTTAATTTGTTCTTTCGTTTATAATGTCCATGCCAAAACAAGGGAGGTTGCAATCACAAATTAATGGGACAAAGATTTTCATGTTTTACACCAACACGAACCACGATCTGATTAGGTGGAACTAGATATAAAGTACAACATAGATAGAGAGAGGAGATAGGATAGGATGAAGACATCAAGACAATCAAAAATATATTTCAATTGATATTAACATTTCTTTTTTTGAAAAAAAAATTGAAATTAACTAATAATTTAGTGATAAATAAATTGATTCTTATGTGAATTTTCTGTCAATACGTAGAATTCAAATTTTAAAATTATAAAAAAATATTAAATTTTATCTTTTTTGTTTTAAATATGATTAGTTAATATGAGAATAACTCAATAAAATAACAAAAAATGAAAAAAAATAATATTCACAAATAATGTTAATTAGCACATACTCCCCATATTTATAGCCGAGTTGTTGGATCATCAATGCTTGGATGATCTTTTAACTGAATTTGGAAATTTACTTGTTGCAGCAAGATGAAATGACCCCATTAATCTACGAGGACCGAAAGTTACTCCTTCTAACAGTTATAGTAATTTGGTACATATATGTTCATTGACCATGATTTGCTTGAATCAAATATAATTTTATGACAAATGGTTTACATATTTAGTTATAAGATGATGTCTATTTTTTCACTCAGATAAAAAAAATAATATATGTATTTAAAATTAAAGATTTAGGAGAATTTTATTTTTACAACATGGTCTATGCTAAAAAAAAAATCTCAATCTAATAATTTCAATGAGCATTTTGGCAGATGAATGTGTGGCAAAGGAAATGAGAGAATTGTTTCTCATTAGCTGGGGGTCACATAGAATTAGGACCAGGAGAGGCACATGTACATGATTAAGGCACGAAAAAGGCATAAAATAGTAGTAAGTTTAATTAGCTTAAATAAAACCAAACCTTTGCTAAGTAAGGGAAAGTGAATATATATATATATATATATCAGAGATGGTCGGTTGGTTAGGTAAAGTGACTTTTGTATGGCCATTTCCACGTTATCATAAAGGACAAGACAGAATATCTGTCGAACAATTTAGAAAGGGACGCCCCTTGGCCTAAGCTTCTACCTTAATAATTACTCATGCTCGATATGAACTAGTCTAATCTGTCCAGCTGAGAGACCAATTAAAGCTATCATAACACATTTTTGTTGCCTGTTTATATTAATAATTATTAATCAATACTTACTCATTTTGACTAATCATATCAAGAATTTTTTAACTTGGAAGTCTTGAAAAGCTAGCGCTTAGTAGGATGCTTAACATGAGTCCTAGGTGAGTTCGCTAATCTTTTGTCACCCGAAGTGTGAATCTTAAGGGACGCCATCATAACAAAGAAGCTTAATAATAGCTTGATTATTTAGAATTTAGTTAAAAAAAGATATGTAACCTTTAGGTGCAAAAAATGTTAAGCTACGAAGATGTAAATATAGCTTATAATTTATTATGTTACACAGAGTTAGCACATCAGTTTTTTCACTACTAAAAATTCGACATATAACGACAAATTTTATATACAATTAGTGATAGATTAAAGACAATTTGGACTCTATTATTAATATAATAGTTGTTATTTTTTTAACAATCAAAATTTTTTATTTTATTAATTTATTAAATTTTCATTACTAAATCGATTTAAGAAAATCGTGAAATACTAAATTAAAATTAATGAGCAAAAATCAAGAGGCAGCGTCTTTTGTAAGAACTCCCAAACGAAGTTCTGAAAAGGTCTATAACTTATTGAAAATCCAATAAGAACTCGCAGCCAATCATGGAATAGAAATATGCATACTTGTCAAACTACGTAATCATACCAAAATTTTTTTATAACTTGAAAGTCTTGAACAACTAGCCCCTAAGAGGAGGCTTAACATGAAGCAATCATACATAGGTGAGTTTGCTAATCTTTTGTCATCCAAAGCCTGAACCTTCAGGGATACCATCATAATAAAGAAGTTTCCTGAGTACACGTATATGATTGAGAATAGATTGATTATTTAGAAATACTTAAAAAGATATGTAATTTTTGTTAAAAATAATATAAAATTATTTTTCAATTTTTATCAAATAATTTAATTAGTTTTTAAGTTGAAATTTTTTTGTGAAATTTTGTATGTACAAATTAGTGCAATCGAAAATGCTATATGGGAAAAAAATATATATATGTATACGTTGATGAGTTGAACAGCCATATCGCGTGCCAATGTTTGGTGGCTCTAACATTTCTTAAAAGGTATATATGGTATCATTGTCATTAACAAATTTAATATGATAGTGTTAATGTGAGATATAATTAATGATCCAAAGGTTGTCGTTGGACCATGTGGCTGCATTAAGGGGTGATGAGGGCCTATCCGGTTGGACCACTCGTGCAATTCCTGGTTGGAGCATGCATCCTCGAGGGTGGTTTATTTGACTGTTCAAATCACTTTAGATTCATTTTTGGAATTATTAATTCTTCATGTTACATCATGGGTTATGACCGATATGAGGGAGGGATCATCATAATCATGGCAAGCATTAATGCATGACCAGCACTATAACTATAGGTTAACCCTAATTCCAATATTTCATAGTTAGGACTTTCATTTGGAAGTCTCAAGTTGAGAGATTAGATTGGGATATACGAATGGTTTTACAACCACCAAAGGTAAGCGAGGCTGTAGTTGGATAAAAAAATAAAAAGAAAAGGAAAGCATCACCATCGTGTATACTCATGAAATGAATGTGGTTGTATTACGACAAAAAAAAATTTTAACCATTAGCGGTGAAAACTTTTTTTTAACGATGTACATCAGCCACAGATAACGACAACGTTAAGTGATAGAATTCAAACTAATCGTATGAATGTTTATAATGAATAATGACAAAAATACATCAAAATAGCAATAAAATTTCGGTCTCTATTTAACGACAGACTTGTTAATCCATCACCAACAAATTTAATGATGGTTTATTTCCGTTGTTGTTCCATCGATATACCTAAATAGCAACAAAAATGTTAGTTTTAGTGATGAATATTTCATCTCTATTTACCTATTTTTTTAGTGGCCACGTCAACAAAAACAGAATTTTGTTCTAAAAAAATTTATCGTATGCTACTGAAATTATCAAAAGCTTAATTCATGTATTTTTCATCTATTTAAAAAAAAAGTGCCAAAACGATTAGAAAATTTTAAGTTCTTGATTTTATTGTACAATAAACCTATTTTTTTTATTGATTAAAAAAAAATCAATATTTTTCTCTTGCTTGTTCTTCATTAACAAAAATTTTTTTTTTCTTACACATACAAATACTTTTAACATAAAAATTTCAAAAGAAAATTTTTGTTATATATGTGAAAAATATTTATTTTTGTAACCAGAATTTTGATCTATTTAAAAAAAAAAATTTGTACAGAATTTTGTACAGAATTTCAAAAATTTCAAAAACAGAATTTTGTTCTAAAAAAATTTATCTTATGCTACTGAAATTATCAAAAGCTTAATTCGTGTATTTTTCATCTATTTTAAAAAAAATGTGCCAAAACGATTAGAACATTTTAAGTTCTTGATTTTATTGTACAATAAACCTATTTTTAAAACAAATACTTTTAATTGATTAAAAAAAATCAGTATTTTTCTCTTGCTTGTTCTTCATTAACAAAAAAAAAAAAAAATTATTTTTTTTTCTTACACATACAAATACTTTTAACATAAAAATTTCAAAAGAAAATTTTCGTTTTATATGTGAAAAATATTTTTTTTTGTAAATACTTTACTGCATATGCCAAAATTTTTGAAATAAATAAATAAATGTAGCTAAATGAATTTGCTTTCAATATAGGAGTTTCTGTTATCCCAATACTAAACCTTATGATTTCTGTTTCTTGGACAATGTACAGTTCTCTTGGTTATGGAAGAATAGATATTTCTTGTGCTATGTTTCAATTCACAACCTTTATGCTGCATGATTAAAGAATTGGTGTTATGGAGTACTACAAACTTTGAATGAAGTCAACAAAGATTGTCATAATGAATAAAGCAAACATAAACCAATTCGATACGCAGTTGTCATTAGATATGCATGCAGTCAGTTCGAAATTTTTTATTGCTTCCCATGAAAGAACGAATGAGTCCATAATCCAAAAGTAGCATGCTAGCTCTAACCTTATCAGAACTCCAAAATGGAACTCTTCTGTGAAGCTTCCCCACACACCAAGCCACCACCCCCATCCCCCGTCCTAGCAACTTTGAATATGAGATAATTCAGCTGCTGATAATGAATTCTAAGTCACCAATAATTTTTAGTGGGGATATTTGGCTGGGCAAAGGGTTTGATCAGAAAACAGAAGTTGCTAGAAAATAACTCATGAAGGGAGAATATACATTAAGTTTATGAAGAATATTTGACTATTCTAAATTATTCGTGATATAAACCTAACCATGCAAGCCAGTGACAAGTAGCAATTTAGTTTCTGGGGGACTGCGTAAGTAGTAATCCTTAGTTAAACATCAAGAAGTTAGGTCATGCTGGGGAATTTCTCTACGTACATATCCTCATCATATCCAGAAGTTAACTTGACAGCTTGGATTAAAGAATATTCACTGTAACATTTGGAACATTCGGATCAAGTTTAAGATCAAGCAGTTTCCTAGAATTCAGCTCAGCTATTTCGCACAAAATGTTCCGATAATATCATAATTTTCGGGGGAAAAAGAAAGAAAAAAAGGAGGGGAGACCCAAATCCCATCAAATTTGTTAAGAATAATACCTTTAAATCAAGGGTTTCATTGCCAAACAAATTTTGCGCAAAAATGACCAATTTTAGTGGCAAGCACACGAGAACCCTGTTGTCCTCTAAATAGCCTTACATAGAATCATACTAGGTACTGATAAGATGCATGATTTTTGTTCATGAAATTATTAACCTGGCATATCCTTCCAAATGTGGGCGGGGAATAGCTGTGGTGGTGGTGGTGGGTCCATGATTTGTAATACCAGGGGGAGGGAAAGGATTGAGGAAGAAGAAAGGAATATGATTAAAGTAAGCGTAGTCAGCAGTCACGCTGCATGCACGTCTAGCTAAAAGATTAGATTTTTTTATGTGTCAATAGACAAGTACCAAATATTAGATTCTTTGTTCACAGAGAAAACTTAGTGTCAAAGTAAGCGGGTCCCACACAGGCCATTCTTCACTTGACATCGGTCGTTTGGTTGCTATCGCTATTTTCCTACTGCATCAACTGTCAAATGTTAGGTACATAAGTAGCCACAAAGGTTATAGGTGGTATATAACGTTTTATTATTTATACCTTCGTCTCTCTCCATCATGGATTTTATGACATTTCATTTTCTTCCTTTTTTTTTCTTTTTTTCATGGGATTGTGTCACAAGTCTAAGTGGTGGCTGAGGAAGAAACCAAAATAGACACATCTACGTAGATTTCGTTTTGGAATGAAATGATATCAAGCAAAGACTTTCTTTTCATCTAAAAGAAAAGTGGAATCTATTTGTGAAGTGCATAGACAATTACTTCAAGAAGTAAGAATGCCTATCCATGGTTTATAACAGTAGAGCTTACTAGGACAACTTGGAACCCAAAAGGCATGTGGATTCAGTGATCTATTATTGTCATGGTGGATAATTTAATGTAATTAACAAGTACTGGAATTTATCTAAAAATAGATCTAAAAATAGCGTACAAATTTATTCAAAAATACCATTCGAATTAAAAAAAAAAAAAAACACGCGTCCACCAAACTCTCATCGTTGCTTAATAGGAAAGTAGCTTCATTGCTATGAGCCATGATGAAAGATCACAACAGTCCACTTTTGAAGAGGAGGAGGAGGAGGACAAACAACAGCCTCTTTTGGTTTCAGCCTTTGAAGCTTCCACGTGTTATATCTTTTAAGATTCCATGACAAACGTCAATTTGATTCTTCAATAAGAAATCCGATTCCACGTGGAATTCGTAACTTTATTTAGAAAGATTGTAATCTACTGATAATTGAAAAGCAATTATATATAACTTCAAAATGTCATCCAGGATTCAAGATATGCACTCCCCGGAATCCAGGACAGCATAGGAGAAAAAACAAGAACTACACTATAATGTTTGTAATTGGAAAACCAGTGCCACTGCTGGCTGGCACTTCATATTATATCAATCAAAACCATACAACAAAGCTACGATACTAGCCAGAGAATTCGAGAATTCATGTCATCCAAAGTGTGTTTGTGCAGAATTAACAACAAAATGCTGTAATTCTATTACGACTGTCGACCTTCAGTTCTAATAGCCTAGACATGACCGCCACCTTAGAATTTGAAATCCTTTTTCTTTGATTTCCCATCCTTTTCCTGCATCTTACGCTTCCTCTTCTTCTCATTCTGCAAAAAGATTTAAAAGTAAAGATTCCAATGTCAAAATTAATTAATGGCTGATACCTAGAACGCGAGGTCTGGCCAACCGACTCCAACAAATCATAACTTGTTTATCCATAACAAAATAATAATAATAATAATAATAATAATAATAATCATATCATTAATTCGATAAACAAGTAAATGGCGCACCTCAGCAACCATGTCACTGAAATCCTCTCGTTGACTACGTTGCTTCTCCTCCTCTCTTGCTTCCTCATATCTGTTGAATTCACCAAAGTTAGAAAATGATTTTACAGTATATTCATAATTAGATGGCAAACATTTACAAGAGTTCCACTTACTTCGAAGGTAAAACATTATCCATAACTTCCAATTCTTCAGGTAGTAGAGTAACATCAACTCTATCTGTTTTCTGACCTCTAAGTAGATCAACCTGCATAAGATTGACAAGATTTATACATGTTAGTTCCAACCTTTATGCAAAGAAAACAAAATATTTAAATTACATTACAGAAATTAGATTTTCCAAGCTTAAATCAACAATCAGAACAGAATCTGTAAAGGCTGCTTTTTTTATTTGAACATTTGATGTTCGCTAAATGGGACTTGATTCAAATAGAAAAGATAACACAATCCAAGGTGTAATTCTTACCCTTTTGGCTGCCGTCTTGTCCTGGGTGCCTGTGTTGACCACATACCTACAAGCAAACTCAAGTTGAAGAATGAGAACAGCATCGAACAAGAAGAAAGAAACTCTTAAACTAAAAAAAAAAAAATGAGAACTCAAAAAGTTCTCCAAGTAGCAGATTGCATACGTGTGTGTCGTTCCAAGTAAAGTCCCTGCACCAATCTTCTCTTGTTTTTCTTCAAGAACCTTAAAGATAGGCAAAAAAAATATATATTTCAGAACATGATTCTCATCAAAATGCTAAAAATACGATGAAGTATAAACTCGCATGAAATTAGTACAATTTCAAATAGTGAGACTTACTTGATAAAGAGGCCTCTCAGGTTCCTTTCTCTGCTGCTTACGAAGGTCAATAACATCAGGAGTCTCGACTCCAGTTGGTGTGCTGCATTATGGAAAACCAAGTCAATTCACTAAACAAAATCATGTAGCTTTGAACATCATGGAAAAAAAAAAGGAGTAAAGGCAGGACATTAAGAAAACAGCATGCTTAAAAGGAATGCCCAGCAATATGATTGCAATGGCACAATCACCAAATCTTGATCAACAAACTAAACAATTACATGTGTAGAAGGAACAATTACACACATAAAATGCTGGCAGCATAGTGCTTAAGCACACAATGACCTTGATTAACGAAACAATAGATGTGATTGCAAGTTGCAGGCACTGATAAACATCGAAAAATGAGGAATTCAATCCAATACCTTGAAAGGCTATCAACTGATTGAGCACCATCCTCCAACTCCTCCTCATCAAGCTCTTCCTCCTCTTCCTCCTCCTCCTCCTCTTCCTCCTCTTCTTCCTCCAAATCACCCCAATGCTTGGTCTTATCAACTGGCTCCTCCTGAATTGGATATTCGATATAAATTACAAATAGCAACAAATTATACACTCAAAGAAATGTATGGTGATCCAAATCACAAAGAAGAGACTAATTAGAGAAAATACCTCATAGTTTGGCTGTTCTTGTATCTGAACCCCAAAAACATCTCCATATAAAGGGCGCCCATACTATTCACAATACACAGAATAAATATGTTATGCATTGAAATAATTTCAGGTAGACAAATAAAAGCATAATACGAAACATTTAGATGTCTGACTCAATAAGGAAAAAAACTCACTTCATCAACAGGAGGCTTGCCCCAGCCACCAGCATGATATCCAAAGCTAGCTCCAGGAGGAATAGGAGCATTAAGTCCAGGAATTTTTAGATGTGGATAAGATGGAGGAGGGCCATATCGCTAGAAGAGACAAATCACCATCAATATAAACATGAAAAATATGGGTAAAGAATGAAATGAGTACAACAACAAACAAGCAGTGGACTTCAACATCAAGCACAAGATGTTATTAGCCAATCTGACCTGCATATTAATAAGCCAGGGAGGAGGTGCGCCCTCTGGCATACCCAGAGCTTCTTTAAGTTCTTGTGAAAGACTGCCTGGTTTCATCTCCCTCAGCTTTACCTGCACGAGAGAAAAAATTGGAATCACAAATGAAATATATTATATAAATGCCACATTCCTATGCCCTAGACACTAGTTCATACTGCACAAATATCTACAGCAACAAGTGGTTATAATAGAACATCAAATTATTTTCTTCATCTCCTGGAAATAGAAGATTCTCTTACTGTAATATAAAAATAACAATATATCTAGTATCAACAGAAAAATAATAAGCACATAGTGATCTACTTTTTTTACACGGACAAGAAAAATGCAAATGTAGAAGAAGCATGGTATAAAAACTAAAAATAATACCTCAAATTCTTTCCCCTCGTGATACAGGTCACCAAGCGTGGTCAGCTTTGGCTTCGTCTGATACTTGAAAAATGCATCATGGAGAACCTAAGAAACAAAAACCAGAATATAAACAGACAATAAAATTAGCAGAGAAACATTGCACGCTCCTAGAATGAAAAGGAAATATATAAATCCAATAAACCTGATAGTCAATATCCATTTTGCCCATCTTTGGCTGCATACGCTCACGTTGCTTTTGTTTTAACTTCTTACCATCTTCCTTTTCAATGTAAGCCTGTACAAGAAGTAAAGGTGAGCTGCAGAATGAGAAGGGATATTAAGAACCTAGAATCCAGCAGGCCAAACCCATGAAATCTACAAGGCATGCTTCTTGACTTAACAAGAAACTACGATTCTTCAAATCCACAACATTGAAATAAAATAGGAAAGAAATGAAATTTCAATGGAAATAATATTATAGTGAACCTATTCAATAGATTTCCTCAGCAATAATAAAAATTAAAAAATTCATATAATTGCAGAACACTCCCTTAACCTGCATTAAGTGGCTAATCTTTTGTTTTACAGGAATATGATTAAGCTATTAATCAATAGCAAGAGTTAATTTAAAAAGTCAACACTACAAAGTATTCTATTTGAAAAAAGACAGTGGATATCTTAAAGGCAGCAATACATATCAAGACCAAAACAACACTTCCCATGGCTGGCAATGACAGGCACCACTCATGCCATTCAACGAGATGAACGATAATACATTAGTAAAGAATTTTGAATATCTAGATAATCTCCAATGGACTCGAGTAAAACAAAAAGGGAAGAAGGAAAGGGTGAAACATCCCATTGAATTAATCAAAAAAAAATTTAAGTGTTACATTGATGCAAGAAAAGATCAAATCACTATTTTGGCGTTATGGAAAAACCAGGGTCAAAACACTATCATGGTTTTATGCAAAAACCAGGTCACTTAAACAAGCAATAAGTGATCAAAAAACCAAAGAAAGAATTCATTTTCTGACAATAAAAAATAGGCATACGAGCAGAAAAACAAGCAGCAATGGTTATTCTTCATCTTGACAAGTATGTGCATGTGAAACATAGCTGCATAATCATAATTGTGAAGAACTCATAGGAATTGTAGTTACCTGTCTAATTTTCTCAATTCCTGTTGCAGCAATAAAATCAGGAAGTTGAAAAGGTTGCTTCTCAATACCACGCTTACCCTGCAAAACAAACCAAAAAACTCAATGAGATGCCAACTTTGCAGAAATAATAAATAACAGCATAATTTGACATCCAGTTCAGGTCATTTCATGCTAAAAACTAAATTTAATAAATAAATCAAATTATACAAATCTAGCCCCAGCATTAAGCAAAATGGAAAGGCATCTGAAAATTCAAAGCAGATGAATTAGAACCTCAATAGTGAAAAAAAAAAATCCCCATTGTGAAGCATAAAAAGATAAGTCAAATTTTACAAGAAAAACAAAGTTTCCCAACACAAGTAGCATACAAACAACCATATTATCTTGCAGATCAAGCAGCAGCAGCACTCCTTTTGGTTGTTATGTGTCAAAGAGTCTCAGGTGACCTAGAGGAGCAACCAGTTGGTTAATAAGAATTTAAACTGATTTTAAATTTTACTGTCCAAGGTTTGAAGGTTTGCTGAATTTGAGATATTTCAAGAAAGCACGATCAAACTGAGACTCTTGACATACCAGGGCCAGCAGGAACTCCTGCTGCCTGGTCTCGCAAGACATTATGGTTCATATAATATCTAAGCCCCCAGTCACACTAGAAAATATATTAAAAGAGAAATCACTTAAGGGTCCCCTTTGCCAAACACATACAAGTCCGGGCTCCATGATTGTCACAGCCGCTCCCCTGCAAGAACCACATATATACATATAAGAGAAACCTCATCGAGCGTTATCTTTCCTCACCCCATCCCTAAACCTCTCATGGTGTACAATGCCCATTTATCATGCATATTTTAACCATAGAGTTCCTTTTACAAGAGTTACTAACCTGCAAAAACTTCCTTTTCTGGCACCAGTGTCTAGGCACAGGAACAGTATTTCTGTACGACTTCAGAAACACTAAAAGCTTCGGGTCTGCAGAAGTTGCATCCCAGACCTGCAAAGTGAATAATTTGGTGAATAACCAAACACTATGACGTCATATGTTATATGATAACCAAACACAATAAAGCAAAATAATAAACCGCTGAAACATTAATACACCAATTGTACCTCTACTACATCGGGTCTGGAGCATATCTGTTTCAAATCAGCAATTTTCATCCGTCTTTGAAGCTGAAAAACAAACAACATTCAGTATCACGATGACCAATATTCATTCTATAAATGCAATAATGCCAACAACAATAATAATTTATCATTAGAAAGCGAACCTTTTTCTTCTTGTTTGACACGCCTTTCTCTTTTTGTTCACTATCTTGTTCTTCCTCTTCTGAATCTGAGTCAGCTTTCTTCTTGGAGTCTGCATTTTTTACCGATTCATCCTTTTTATCATTCTCCTATTTAAATTAAAAGAATATGGGATTCAGATAACTGTTTTCATGAGGGAAAAATCACGAAACAGTAATGCACAAATCGTCAAAAGAAAAAAAGAAGAAGAAAGAAAAGAAAAACTAATCCTTTTACCTCAGAACCAGCACTTTGAAGGAAATTGAACTTCTCAAAGATATTCCTGAACTCATCCATGCCATCCTCTAACTCTGCCTTTTCTGGGACATACTCAATGACAACTTGCTCCACAACCTATAAGTTTCAACAATAAAAAAGTTAACAAGTTAAAATCTACATACTAGAAATTGAGTTTTTTAAAATAAAATCAACATAAAAACAAATGAAATTACTACAAATTCAAATTTAATTATCCTCCAAATCAAATGAGAAATAAAAAACGATGACACTCATACATAGAAAGCCCATCTAATCATAGAGATAACTGACAAACAAAAAAATGAAGTAAAGCTAAGAGTGGCAACTTGGTTACACTTCCAAGGACAACAAGCTCTAGAGAATTAACAGGCAGCATGGGAAAAAGGTTATAAACTCCAATTTCTCTCCATTTGATTAAATTGGCATTTACTGTTTCTAAGGAACATCAAAATCATCTTCACACGTCGTACTATTGTTTTTTATTTACCAACAACACAGCAAACAGTACCATAAATGCCAAATAATTACTAGCATTTTTTTCCCTCTAATAACTGTACTCTCAAAAAACTAATAAAAAGAGAGCAGCGTCATCAGGACATCATGCCAATACAGAATATAAAACCCTAGCTAGTTTTCAGTACAAAAACCTAAATTCACAAATTTATACAACAAAAAGAACCAATTCACACCACAAAATCAACTAAATTACCCCAAATTCTTCAATTATTCAAACGAATAGATTGTCACGATAGCATTATCGACAAAAGAAAAAACCTAGAACCAAACTACGAACCTGTTGAGGATCGGCGTTCTCCTTGGCATCACCACCATCATCATTTGCGGCGTCGCTGTCGTCTCCGTTTGCGGCGGCGGCGGAGTAAGCATCAGGAACCTGAGACTTATTCTTCTTCTGCTTGCGTCTGCGACGACGTCGTTCGATCTCTTTGGATTTCTTCGTGGTGGTAGCGGTAGAGTTAGGGTTAGTGGAGACTAGATCTCCGTTGGAGACGACGCCATTTTGGTACGGCAGAGTCTCTACGGTCATGATTTTTGTGTAAGGTTCTTGAATTTGAGACGAATTGATTAATTTTAATGGGTTTCTTTTTCTGGGCGAAAAATGAGTGTTCGAGTGAGGAAATCTGGCTAAAGGATGGGGAAAGGATAGGAAGGTGCATAAATAGGACCCTTCTTTTTATTCTGGGCCTGGACTGCTTGGATCACAGGGCTTTTGAACCGAGCCTAGGCCTTTTAATGTATTGCAACATTTCGGAAAGGTGATATCCATTAAAAGAATAGATTCGAGAACTTCACCGAAGAGACCATTAGAGAAAAAATCCAATAAGATAAAGAAACTCGAATAGGGTTGTGTAACATTTTGATATATCGGTATTGTTTGATTGGATGTAACGAACTATATAATATTTATTTATTTGATTATGCAATTTTTAAAATTATAATGTACTGACTTATTAAATTATTGGAAAAAAATGAACCATTACGTGACAAAGAGCAATCTTTAGGAACCTCATTTTAAAAAAAAATCATCACAATAGTTTAATAGTAAATTTTGTAATTTACAATGACCAAAAAACTTTCAAAGAAGGATCAATTTGTAAATAAAAATAAAATGTGAGAACTAAAATATTTTTTTTGAAAATTATAGAGATTAAAATGAAACTTTATGAATGCCTCCTCTGTTACATTATTAAAAAATTTGCAACTAAACAGAGGTATGTAATGGACCATTCCATATATATATATATATATTAAAAGAGTAAAACCTAGCTTATTTTTTGTAGTTTCACTTGTATATGTTATTATTAAGCCAACGTTTAAGTAATAATATATAATCCAAACTATCTATAGCCTAATCAAAGATAGGCCATCCAGATCTAAGTTAAAATATCTATAAAAAAATTATTCTTTAAAATGTTGCTAAATTCATTATGAAATTTGTTATTTCCACTAATTGCTTTTTAAATTACCAATACATTATATTTATCAGTTTATATTATATAATATGATTTAATATGCTCCAGTAGGGTCAAATCAATCACTAACCATTGCAATATAGTAATATATGGGACACATGTCAATTGAGTGCAGCCAATAAATTTTAGTCCTTATATAAATAATTAATATCTTGGGTTTGACCTATACCTTGATGATACTTCACAACAGACAAGCCCATCAATAGCATACAACGCTACAAAAAATTACACAAAACAAAATAAAAATTTATATGAGAATAATTTTTAAAAAAATCATTAGGACGAAAATACAACATAATTTACTGAGGCAACAAAGATCCGTCAATTTTGAACAAGATCTAATGAAAACATTTATATACCATTTTTTATTCTTTACAAGCTATTTGGTTTATCAAAATGTTTGATCGCATGCAAATTATCTTGATGTTGGACAACTTCTTTGCATGTTTTAATAATTTTTTACTAATATAATTCTTCATTGCAACACTAATACTAAATTATTTCAGCAACAATATAAAATAATTAAAAATTTATTTATTTTTAGTTTATTTTAAGTTAAAAGTGTGACGTTTAGTTCACAAAATAATATATAAATTATCTTCATTGTAACGCCAATACTAAATTATTCTAAGAGCACCGCATAGGATAATCAAAGGTCTATCTAGATTTAGTTTGCATAAAATTAAAAGTGTGGTGTTTGGTTAATGAAATTGAAAGAAAATGAGCTAAGAAAATGAGATTGCAATCATTATTATATTTGGTTTATCTCATGAATTAAACTTCTCCAAAAGTCTCCATTTCTCAAACTTTGTCACTTTATCCTCTTGCACTGTGGGTTAAAATGGTGTAACCAAACACTTATTAAGGTAACTTAATGATAGTATGAAGTTGGTTTTAAGTTTATCCAAACGATATTTGTCTCATTTTATTATATTAACCCCCTCAAAACATCGAGATTTAGAGTATTAAAATATTTTTAATTATTTGATAGATCAAAACCCTCCAAAACCTCTTCTTTTTTCTTTATTAGTAACTAGCCGAGTAGTTACGCCTTCATATGAGTCCATTTTCATACCAAATTTCCTTTGATCATGAATGTCTAGAACCTTTAAGATGTGCATTTTCATTTTAGAATTTAAAATAATGGCCATTATTTAGAAGTTTTTTTAATACAAAGACTTTTCATAATTAATGAAAGAATACAAAATAAATATATTGATATTAATACAAAATGTTGAAGAAAAAAATTCTGATTTTGTGTGTGTATTAGAGGTGGGATTTGGAATTATTTAGTTTTTTTTTTATTTAATCCCTGAAATGGAGATCATAAGATCTCCCTTTTTTCTCATTAAATCAAAACTCCCATTTCTTTTCTATCTACGACCCAATTTGTTTAATCTAGAGTTGTCTATTTACGACCCAATTTGTTTAATCTATAGACAACTCTTATAAACTCTATGAATCTTATTGTCCAATCTAATATATTGAATTTTTTATTTTATTTGCATAAATTTATTAAATTTTGATATAGTGTCAAAACATAGCATCACTGCCATTGAAGATGGGCATTCTTGTATATATGATCACAATGAATACTCAAAGGCGTGCCATAATCTAATTCGAATTCATACAAATTTGAATGGTGATTTATAAAATTCATAATAAGAGGTAAATTTAATGGTCTACAACTCGAACTTAGTTCAAAATCTTATCAAAATAGTCTAGAACATCAATCGAAGTCATCAAGCGAGATGGCAATTGGTCTATCTCAAGCAAACCAAAAGTCGACGCCATAAGACATTTTTTATTTTAGTGCTACCATCACCAAACCAACTATAAGAAAAGCTAAGCTAAGGAAATTTTAAATTATAAAAAATCCATTTTGTTGTCATTGGCGGTTTGTGTGAAAAAAAAAAAAAAAGACTTCCAATTGTTAAAGTGGATGTACTCATTTAGCATATTAGAGTTGTTAAGGATGTAACCACCCTTCAATAAAGCATGATCAATTCAAGATGAAAAATTCATGATGTTATTTTTCAAAACAACATGGGCATAGCCACCTTTCAATATACGTAAATTTTATGCACTTTCGATTTGATAAAGCTTTTCTCAAATCTTTTCAAGCTAGTAAACCTCTTTTTAATTAAACGATTTCAAGCTAGTTTAGAGCTCGTCACTCTATAAAATAACAAATTTCAAGTTATTTTAAAGCTCGTCACTCTATAAAATGATAGATTTCAAGTTATATAAGAACTTGTCGTTACATAAAAGGACATATTTCAAATTAGCTTTGAACTCCTCACTCTATAAAATAACAAATTTTGAATTTGCTTAGAGCTCGTCACTTTATAAAATTACAAATTTTAAATTAGCTTAGAGATCATCACTCTAGAAAATGACGAATTTTGAATTAGCTTAGTGATAATTAGTTTCAAGCTCATCACTCTATAAAATAACAAATTTTGAATTAGTTTAGAGCTTTTCACTTTATAAAATGATAGACTTTGAATTATCTTAGAGCTTATCACTCTACAAAATAATAGTTTTTCAAATGAAACTAAGTGATAAATCACTTAACAACTTGGTCAACGAAGGTAGGTCATCTTTGTCCTCTGTTTTTCTTACAAAAAATTTCAAAGGTTTTTTTACAAGCTTACTAAACAAAGCTAAGGAAAGATCATTTTTTCAATTACTTTCTATTGTAGGCATTGTAAAGAAGAGAGTTATCATAACCTCGTTTTTGACCTTCAAATTTTTTTTAAAAAAAATTATTTATACAAAATATTCTAAAAATATATGTTGCTTAGTTTCTAGATTTTATTTTTATTTTTTGTAATTTTTAGGTATTTTTATAAAATTTTAAATATAATGATATTTTTATTCTTAATTTGTAATAAAACAGTTGAAAAATAACAAGAACAAAAAGAAGTTTAAAAGGTTAGAAAAAAATTGAATAGAAGAAAATTTAAATAATTACAAACAAGAAAAATTGGAAAGACGTGAAGAAAAAACATCATAAAAAATAATCAAAAGCTAGAAAAAAAACACAAGAGTACAATTGGAAAAAAAATTTTTAAAAAAAACAAGGAATTAAAAAAGCAAGGACCAATGAAAAAAAGAGAATAGAATTAAAAAAACACAGGGAGAAAAAAAAACAAGGAGTTAACAAAACAAAAAAAAAACATAGGAGCATAATCAAAGCAAAAAAAAAAAAGATTGAAAAGATGGAAACAATTGAAAAAATAAAGTAAAAAAAGTCCAACTAGTGAAAAAAGAGAAAGCTAATGACTGAAAATATCTCGCTTACTTAAAACAATATTGTTTTGGGCGCTTGGGAGGGAAAAATAAGCCAATAAAGGACAATCTCAAATCGTCTTTTGCTTTTTCCGAGACATTATTCATCTTCTTGCGTAGAAACATAAACTCTTCATAATATTTTTGTAGCTTTTTTTTTTACCCACAAAACATTTTCTCTCTTTCACTCAAGATAAACAATATGTCTCCCTTTCCTAAGTTTTTTATTAAAATTTATAGCTATAATAGTGCCAAAAAAACCATTGTATGTACAAAACAAAATAATCCTAAAACATGTTTTATTTTACTATTCTTTTTACTTGTAGTACCATACTTATTTCACAATTCCTTTCACTATTCGTGCAACAATGTTTTTTTTTAATTTTTTTAACATAAGTTGTACCCCTCCTTTGCTTTTCTAATTACATTGCTACCACTCGCTTTTTTACTATCTTTTTTCTACCTCCTTAACCCTCTCTTCTTATTCTTTTTTCTTCTCTAGCTGCCATTGTATATACTTCATGTATTATATTAACAACAATAATGATTTAATTCAAATTCATATAAATTACTTGTAACTTAATAAATAATAAACAAAAACCTAGCAAAAGTTTTTTTCTTTAGAATTTTGAACATCTCTTGATTAACTTTTTCCATAGCTACCACTATTGGCGAGAGCATTTTTCTTTCTTTTCTCAATGTTTTTTTTTTCAATAATTCTAAAATCTAGATTTGATGTTACTTTTCTAATAACACTACG